GCTGGGACCAGGGTGAAGGTCTTGAGTTTGGAGGTGGCGGCCACAACATTCGGAGGCATGTCCTCATGTGCTCTGAAAAGGAGGCCAGGAGGTGAGTCCTGCAGTGGAAGGAGCTGGGCCCCCACCCAGCTCTACCCTGCACCCTCACAGGTCCACGAGGAGCATGGAGTTCCCCCAGCGGTGGTAGTGGGCCAGTTCTGTCAGGTACTGGGGGTCTGCGGTCGGCAGCTCCAGGGAGTCCACGATGTGCAGGTCGTCCTGGGGGGCGGGGAGGAGGACGGTGTGAGCCCGATTGCTCCCCAGCCTCCTCCCCAAGGACTCCGGCAGCGCCAGGCATGATGGGGGCTGTACCTGGGCCAGCTTGACGGTCAGTGCCACCTTGAGCTCCTGCACCCGCACTTTCATGGGCAGCATATAGTAGTAGCTCGTGGGGCCCCGGGGGCCATGGGCAACGCCTCCTGAGGGGACAGAGGTGTGCACTGGTGAGGGGCTGGGCTGGGAGGTCAGAAATTTGCTCCAGTGATTGTGTGCACAGGCTGCCAGCAGCCAGACTGAATTCCAGCAAAGAGGGCAGGGCCTTGGTACGGATGGAGAGGGAAGGCTGGATAAGACATCACCTGGGACAGGTGACTTCACTCCCTGGGCCTGTTTCCTCAGCCATCGAACCCTGGGTGACGGCCATCTACCCATGTGTCAGCTCCCTGTGGGGCCCTGGGAGTACAGCAGGGAACAAGATGGACAGGATTCCGGCCCTCAAACCATTAGTATTCAGAGGCTTGACTGCTGAGGTAATCACGGCTGTGTGGGGCAGCACAAGGGGGTGCAGGGGCAGGGGGACCCAAGGGAGGTTGAGGAGGAGGCATGGCCCAAACACATCAGAGAGGCGATGGGAGTTGGTCAGGCAAATGAAAGATGACTGGGCGAGCTCTGTCTGGTCAGAGAGGGTGTGGAGGGGACAAAGGGGAGAGGATCTGCAGCCCGGAATGCCAAGTAAAGAGCTAAGACTTCATGCAAAGACGACAGGAATGGAGAAGTTTAGGAAAATCCCGCCGGGTGCTGTGGGAAGTGGGGGCCAGGAGAGGTGAGATGGGAGGGAGGGCCACAGAGGCTGTGGCCACAGTCTGACGGGAGAGGCCAAGACTAGAGCGGGGGTGGGGGAGTGGAGGCTCCCAGATCCGACCCACACAGGGGCGGGGAGGTGCGTGGGCCTGAGGCCTACTGCCCCTGCCAAGGTGGAGGGAATGGGGCTCACGAGACTTCTCACTGGGTGTGTGTGAACAGACACCAAGACCTCCATTAACGCAGAGCCCCCTGCCTGCGCTGCCTCACTTACCTCCTCGCCAGATCGGGGAGCGGATGCTGCCATGTCTCGCACGCCCACTACCTTTCTGAGGCCAGGGCTTCCGGCCACCACCCTGCACCTCGGCCCTAGTCTTGGTCTTGGCATAGCTCTGTGGGCACAAAGTGAGGAGAGGGTCAGGTGCATGAGGCCGATGGCACTGTGGCCCAAAGGTGCCAGGCCCAGGAATACAGCAGTGAGCTGGGCAGACTGGGCCTGCCGCTGTGGAGCCCGATGGGGGGCATGGAGATGGGGGCTCTGCTGGACAAGCCAGAGGGTTCTGGGAGGGAGGGAGGGAGGGAAGGAGAAATAAATCAAGCATTTCTTCCTCCCCTCCCAAAGCTGGCCTTAAAGGCAGGGGCTGTGCTACCTGGCATGCAGTGAGGGCTATTTTTCAAATGATTTTAGTGTGGGGAGAGTTGTGGCTAGAATCAGGAAGAGGTGCGGGGCTGGGGGCTTCTGATGGCAGGTTGGTTTCACTCCTACTTCATTCCTTGGGTGATGGGGAGCCAGGGAGGATGTGAGCAGGGATAGTGACCTCAGTGCTGTATGCCCAACACCTCGAATGGAACCTGGCACATGATAGGTGCCTTGTAAGTATTTACAGAATAAACAAAATACATTGTGTTTGTAACTTTTTTTGGCACCCTCTACTAGACTGGGACTCCACAAAGGCAGGGGGCAAACCATACAAATAACTGGATGGACTTCTGAAGGGGGCAGAGGGAAGGCAGAGAAGCCCTGATCAGTAATGGCCTCTTCCATGCTCTTGGCCTAAAATCCAAACTCCTCACCACTGCTGACCTCTATGGCCACACTGGGCTCCTCCTGGTCCCTGCCCCAGTCCTCTGCATGTGCTGTTCTCACTACCTCCACCCCAGGCCCTCTGCCCCCTTTACCTAATTAGTTCCTATTGCACACCTGTGGTTAAATGCCTCTTTCTCTGGGACAACTTCCCTAATTATACATCTCCACGAGTGACTACTTGATTCACGTTCACTTCTCCAACTAGATGGTGAACTTGGTAAGGGCAGGAATCTTGTCTGCTAGCACAATACCCAGTGCAGGGTGGTTGTTCAGGAAACACCTGGCAAGTGACTCATTAGCCAATGGTTCAGGAGAATGCGCCCAGCCATCTGGAGAAGACACACTGAGGGGCTTGCTCGGCCTCCCACCTCACCCTCCTGGGGCACTCACAATTCTCTTGAAGTTCTTCTGCCAGATGGCAACCTGGTGCAGGATATCCAGCCTGTGGAGGAAGAAGGCAACATGAGGCCCACATCCACTTAAGCTCTCCACACTCCAAAAGATGAAAAGTCGTGCTCCTTCCATCCACTTTCAGGGCCCTGTGTGCCCTGCCTCTGCCCTTCTCTGACCCCATCTCATACCACCTCCAGCGCCACTCCATTTCCATTCTGTGAAACGGGCTCCAGCCTCCATACCTTTGTGCTCACTATTCCCTCTGCCTGAAACACTGTTCCCCTCGCTTGTTGCTTCTCAGCTTGCAGGTCTCAGGCCAAATATCTGAGAGAGAGGCCCCTTCCTCCTTCTCACAGTACCTTACTTCTTCCCTAGCATTACAACTCGCTGGTTGCAAACTTCCTCCTGGTTTTACCTCCCTATCCCTGTGCTGTCCCCTACAGCAGACACTGGCCACATGTTAAAGTCACAGCATTTCAGATACATCAGGTTAAACAAAATATACTACTGAAATCAATCTCAATTGTTTCTTTCTACTTAAAAAAACAAAAACGTGGCTTAGAGAAAAATGTAAATGAACACACGTGGCTCACATTATGCGGCTACACTGGACATGGCTGCCAGGCATTGGCAAGCTGTCTAGTAGGCCAAATCTGGCCAGCTGCCTGTTTTTGTAAACATGTTTTACTGGAACACAGCCATGCTCATTCACTTACAAACTGTCTGTGGCTGCTTTTGCACTACACGGGCAGACGTGAGTAATTGCCATGGAGATGTTGTAGCCTGCAAAGCCTAAAATATTTTCTTCCTGGCCCTTTATAAAGTTTGCTGACTCCTGATCTAAACTGTAAGCAACATCAGTGACCTCAATGCTGTATGCCCAACGCCTCGAATGGAACCTGGCATATGACAGGTGCCTTGTAAGTATTTACAGAATAAAAAAAATACACTGTGTTTGGAACTTTTTTTGGCATCCTCTACTAGACTGGGACTCTGCAAAGGCAGGGGGAAACCCGTACAAATAATAGTAATAGTGATAAACTAAGTATCAAAGTGCTATACACACTTGGCAAGTGATAACCGGGTCCTGGGAGTTAGCCTACAGAAGTTTGAGATCCTGGCTCTAAAGCTTGCAAGCTGTGTGACCTTGGGCAAATTTCTTAAGCTGTCTGTGCTCAGTTTCCTTATACACAAAGTAAGGATAGCAGAACCCCTTCCTAGGGTTGCTATGAGGATCTAGTTAACTCAAAGGAAAATAGGCTGTGCCAGGCATATAGTAAGGACTTCATCGTTGGTGGTCATTTTTGCAAAAACCATTAACAGTAACAATAATCAACATTTCTATAGAACTTCTTATGTGCCAGAATTAACTCATTTAATCTCTTGAGTTTTGACAAAAATGGAGACACCGTAGGGCAAACGGAGGAAGGCAGGATTTGAATCCAGCTACTCTGGCTCCACAGTTCTGCGTGCTTAACACCTACAGGATGTTACCTCTCAGCTCTCAACCTCACAGAACTCCGCAAAGACCATCATCCTCTTTTGACAGGTGGAGAAACTGAGGCTGGAGCCCAGATCATCCTGATTCCTACCACCCACCCCTCCGTTCCTCGGCCACCCAGTTCCTCTTTTCAGCTTCCTCTCACCTGGGTGCTGTAGAGAAAACTTCGGGGTGCAGCTCAGCTAGACCCACGCGCTCTTGCTCGTAGCCCCGCAGGGACTCTATCCAGGCTTGTACCGGACGCCGGTGCGGAGATACCGGGAGCTCGCACATGCGCAGCACAGGCGCCTGGGGAACTAAAGCGATTGGGAGGTCAAGGGTCAGGGCTAAGGGTCAGAATTCCGTCGCCGGCCCTCCTGGGCGACCCCGGCAACCTCACCCGCGCTCGCCACCGGCTCTGGCTTCTCCGCCGGCTGCATGGCCTCTTCCGCCAGTGCGTTCAGGCTCTGTAAACGGTGGGCGGGAGTAAGAGACAATCCCCGGTCCCTCCGGCCTTTGTCCTCCGACTCCGCCCCCAGACCCCGGCCTCACCCGGCAGCCGGGCGGCCGCAGCCAGCCCCGCGCCCCTGCCCGAACTAGCTGCAGCATCTCCGCGCAGCTTCCCACGCCGAGAGGTCAGAGCTCCCTCCAGACGCGCGCGACGCCGCCCGCCCCGCTTGGATTCGATGTTGGAAAGCGGGGCATGCAAGAGCGAGGGTGTTGGGGCCGGGCCCAGTGTGCCCCCACCTCCGCCCCAACACTACCCGGCCAGACCACAGTTTTCACGCTTGGCCTAAAGGGCCCGGCGCGACCACTCCACAACGCAAACCCACAACAAGAAGCCCCGCCCCCTCCGTAGGTCTTGCCCTCCTGAGTACCGCCCCAAAGAGCTGGTGAGGGAATTCAGCCAATGAGAGCTCTCCTGCCCTCGTTCAGCCAATGAGCGCGCTAAGTCTGGAGGAGTGGCCCACCCATGGCTGGGAGGTTCTGGGGCGGGCACCTAAGGGAATGGGACCAGTAACTGTCACTCTGTGGCTGCCGGTCTCGCCCTCCAGGCTTCGCCCCCTCCTGGTCTCCGAGACGTTTTGGCGTTGGTTTTTCTGTGCCTATCAGCGTGTTTTTGCCTGTTTGCTTGTTTGCTTAAATATAGGGCCTTAGCTCCCAGAGCAAGCCTCAGGAATGCGCTTGTCAGACGGTGCCTCTCCTCGTAGATCCTCCGGTCAGGTCTGTGTCCCCCTCTGACCTTTCGGGTTAGGTCTGTGTCACCCCCACCGCCACCTCCTAAGCCAGGGTCCTGTCCCCTGCCAGGGCTCTCCGAGAATAGTGGGGAGCAAAGTGGGAGTCCACAGATCCTGGATTGCCCCCCTCGTCGCCCATCTTCAAAAGAAATCCAAAGGCTCATTAGGTTCTTTGCCACACTTCCCGCAGGACCTCCAGGGGACGCCACGAATCCATAGCAGCCTTCCCTGCCGGGTCGGGCCTACTCACCTCGACCGAGCTCGGGGGCCCAGCAAACATGGTCTCCGAGTCCTCATCTGGAAAATGAGGAAGTCAGAAGACGTCGATGGAACGATGGAGGCAAAGCATGCTATAGCACAAGGTGAAAACTTACTAAGTAGCATTGTTGTTGTTGTTGTTGTTATTATTATTATTACTGAATGTGAGTTTTGTCATCAAAGCAAGGCCAGAGCCAAGGCAGAGGACTCAGAATGCTGTGGTAAAGATGTGGGTGCCTTTTTTTTTTGTATGTGATGTATAATATGTGGATATTTTTGTGAGGCGTTAATGAACATTTACATTTCATTGTGTATTCCATCCCTGCAAGAGTGACTGAGGATGTGTGTTTAAAACTCCGTTCGCTTTGCAATTTAAAAAGGTCTTTTAATCCTTTATTTTGTAGAGTTGGTTCATCTTATGTTTGCATAGGTAATTCATACACCTGGTAAAGAAACTTTCAAAAACTACAAAAGGATAGCTAGAGTGAAAAGTCTGTCTCCTCCAGCCTCTGTTCCCTGACCCTCCCAGTACCACTCCCAGAAGCCAGCACCACAACCAGTTGTGTGTCTCCTCCCAGAACCAGTTTAGGATTTTACAGGCAGATTTACACAGTGCCCACTGTGTCCGCCCTGTGCTCTCTAGTGGGCTCCTCTGGAGCAGGGAGGCCTCGCCTGGGTGGGTCTTGCATGTGGAACCTTGGGGTTGGGCTGCAGCTTAGCATGTCCCCCGCCCAACCACGTCTCCAGTCACACGGTTGTTGCTACATGTGCTCCCTCTCTTTTCCCAGCTGGTGGCCTCAGGAGCTTCTCTTGCTGGACTTCCCTACCCCGTGGGGGAGAGTGGCTTTTGTAGAAAGTATACCCCGACGTCTGCATTTACCAGCTCCACTGACACGTGTGTGGCCGGAGCTGGGCCTGTCCCCCTAGTCCCCACAGATGGCGTCCTGCGGAACCCTGCCCCTGGGGCCACACTCCTGGTGGCAGGCCCTGGCCCTCTGGAGACCCTGAGCGCCTGGGACTGACTGTGTTATGCCTTTACCTGGCAGCAGAGTGGGGGGCGGGGGCGCTGGGGGGCGTGGCGCCCACAGGAGTCAGGAGGCCGCCCCGGGAGCTCTCTCCGTCTCCCTCTCCCACAGCTCCCCCTCCTGGACCCCCTGTGTCTTGCAGGCAGCTGGTCTCAGGCAGCTCCAAGCCTTTCCCACCTCATTTATGATTTTCTAGGCCACCATGCATTCTTACCCCGGAGGCGTCTCCAGCCACAAGGCTGCACCCCACCAGGCCTCCCCGCCCCTTCCCAGCAGCCCCTCAGGCCTTCAGCCTCTGGCTTCCCCACCCCCAACCCCCTCCCTGTTCTTTTTGCTGCCTCTGTATCTGATTGGGTACTTTTGTGCGTCTGAGTGGGACAGAGTGCAGGGGTAATATGGGGCCTCCTGACCCTGAGTCGCTGCTGCCCCCCAAGTGTTATGGAGACCCATCGAGCCTTCCAGCCTCAGCTCCCTGGCCCTCTGCCCTGCTCATGGGCTCTTCTCTGCCTGGAGTACCTCCTACTCTCCATTTCCCTGGGGACACTGCCCCCCTCCCCACACCTTCACCCTTCAAAACCCAGCTGCAGGTGCCACCCCCGCATACACTGTTCTCCCGCTGCGCAAGGGGGCTCAGGGCCTTCTCTTCAGCTCTGCATCCTCCTTCCAGCAACCAAGGCTCTGTGAATGTCTGTAGGATGAGCAGGCGGGTGATGGTACATGCTTGGGTTCTGGGGGGTTGGAGAGCCTGTGGTTGGTGTGGCGGCCTGGCCCAGGACCTGACCACAGGAGCTCCAGGGTGTGACGGTCCCCAGGTGGAGGCATGTTGTCGTCTGAACCGCATCCCGTGGGTATGCCAGCAGAGAGGGACGCGAGCTAAGGTCTCGGAATCATGCCTGCCCGCCCCCCCTGGCTGGGTCCTGCCGCACCAGTCCTTCCTAGAGTGCTCCTCCCTCCCCTCTGGGGCTAGCTCTGCTCATGTCCCAGCATCTTTTTCATTTGTTTGTTTTGGTATCATTAATGTACAAGTACATGAGCAACATTATGGTTACTAGACTCCCCCCATCATCAAGTCCGCCCCACACACCCCATTATAGTCACTGTCCATCAGCGTGCTAAGATGCTATTGAATCACTGCTTGTCTTTTCTGTGTTGTACTGCCTTTCCCATGTCCCCCCACTACATTGTGTGTGCTAATCTCGTAATGCCCCTTTTCCCCCCTTATCCCTCCCTTCCCACCCATCCTCCCCAGTCCCTTTCCCTTTGGTAACTGTTAGTCCATCCTTGGGTTCTGTGAGTCCGCTGCTGTTTTGTTCCTTCAGTTTTTTCTTTGTTCTTAGATGAATAAAATCATGTGATACTTGTCTTTCTCTGCCTGGCTTATTTCACTGAGCATAATACCCTCTAGCTCCATCCATGTTGTTGGAAATGGTAGAATTTGTTTTTTTCTTATAGCTGAATAATATTTCATTGTGTATATGCACTACATCTTCTTTATCCATTCATCTACTGGTAGATACTTAGATTGCTTCCATTTCTTGGCTATTGTAAGTAGTGCTGCAATAAACATAGGAGTGCATCTGTCTTTTTCAAACTGCATTCTTAGGGTAAATTCCTAGCAGTGGAATTCCTGGGTCAAATGGTATTTCTATTTTGAGTTTTTTGAGGAACCTCCATACTGCTTTCCACAATGGTTGAACTAATTTCCATTCCCACCAGCAGTGTAGGAGGGTTCCCCTTTGGGTTATGACTTTTATTTTGAATTCTTTCCCAGGAAGATTGGTTATATCTATCTTGCCAGGCCCTCTTTCTGGCGTTGTTTGAGTGATTTTGGACTGGACCAGGTTCTTCTGCCTTTTCATGGTGATAGAAGTTATTGCTGGTGAGTGGCATGTGTGTCAGCTGAGAGAACAAAGTCCCTTCCTGCTTGCTGATCTCCTTGCCCTCTCCACTGCCTGTGCCAGTTACCTGCACACAGGGAGCAGTCTCTGGGTTGATTCCCTGAGCTGCCGTGGGTGGGGTGGCCCTCAGGATAGCCTAGGGCACTGTGTGGGTCACAGGTGCGTGGTGTGCGTTCTCCTGTGAGAACACCACCTCTTCATGCCTTCCGGACTTTGCGCCGGCTTCCTCTGCCTGTGCTGGGTGGCTGAACGCTGGGGACAGCCTGTGGGCCGGCCCAGTTAGCTGCACGCTGGGAGAAGACTCTGTATGGTTGCTGTGGGCGGGGCTGCTCCCCGGCTGGTCCGCAGCAATGGTGGGTCAGCTGGTTTGCTTGCAGTGCCGGTGCGGGTGGGGGACAGGAATGAATGGCAGGCTGCTTATCGCCGTGAGGGGCTTCAGAGCTGTGCTGCATTGCCACCATGGGGTTAGGGTGCCGGAAGTTCCTTAAAATTCCCAGCCTGCTGGGCTGAGTGTTCCAGGACGATTTTGTCCACCTGTTAAACCCTTGTCCCTTTAAGACTTTAAAGTGCCCACTTTTCTTTTGTCCCAGGGCAGTGGGCTGTGGGAATCTGTCCGCAGTCACAGTCTCAGATTTTACTTTTCCATTTCTAATATCCAGTGCCCCATGCACTGTGTGTCTGTGCTCCCGGTGCAGATGACTGGGGCTGGGTATTCAGCAGTCCTGTGCTTCCACTCCCTCCCCGCTCCGATTCTCTTCCTCCTGCCGGTGAGCTGGGGAGGGGGGAGTGCTCGGGTCCCGCCAGTTACTGCTTTGTATCTTACCCTTTTCGTGAGGTGCTGAGTTCTCGCAAACGTAGATGTAGTCTGGCTCATGTACTGTATCTTATGGTCTCTCTTTTAGGGATGGTTGTATTTGCTGTATTTTCTAAAATATATATGGTTTTGGGAGGAGATTTCTGCCACCCTACTCACGCCACCATCTTGAGAAAAATCCCATTACCCTTCTTAAGTGTAATTTATTAGTATGGTAACCTTCCAAATTCCTTTCTGTATATTTAACAAAAATACACACACACAAACACACATATCTGTACTTTGTAGATTTCTTTTTGCTTCATTGGATAAAATGGTGCCATACTTCAGTATGGTTCTGTAACTTGTGTTTCTAATTTACTAAGTAATAAGCTTTTCATTGACACAGATCAATGTAACATTAAGACTACATGGGAGCTTAGTAAATGATAAACTTTACATTTCAAAATAGTAAAGGTTGGCTGTGGGTCAGCCACCCATTCGGAGAACAAATTGCCATCTACACCATTTGCAAAAACAAATTCCAGGTAGAATAAATAGTTAAACTGAAGTATATTAGAAGGAAATGTAAATAGATTTTTCCTTAGAAGAGGGAGGGCTTTCTTAAGGTTTTTATAAGGTAACTTTTGTAAAGGAATGTTTAACACTGCAGGGGGCAGTAGGGCACTCAGGCACAGAGCAGCAGGGCTGTGCCACCCCAGTGGGTACAAGCAGGAGACATCCAGGAGCCAGACCAGCTGCCACACCGGAGACCTTCACAATTCTGTGAGAAAATGGATTGTAAAGCTAGATTTCTACGCCCCAAGATATTCAAGTTTGAGGGCAAAATAATGTTTTCAAGCTTGCAAGGATTCAGATTAACACTTATAAATTTATCTAAAAGAATTCCTAAAGGTTTTATTCCAGTGAAATAGAAAGTGAATTTAAGACTAAAAGAATTGTCAGGTCTGCCGATTCAAAATAAAAAAACAGGGAAATCTGTGTAATTGTACGTTACAATGTGAATTTTGCTAAATGAAAACACTCCAACGATTTCAGCAAGGCTTCTATGGAGAGTTACAGCTAATTCTCTTGCTGGTGAGCTTATATGTGGGAGCAGGAAACAGAAATTTGGGCTCACTCCCATTGTCTATTAAGTACTAGGGGTTCACGTGTTAAAAATACAAAATGCCAACGTAAGACCCAGTAATGCCATTCCTAAGTATCCATGAGAAGAGAAGAGAAAACACACCCCACAAGTACACAAAGACACTCATTATGGTCTTAGTCGTGTTAGTCAAAAACTGGAAACCCAAAGCTCCATCAGCTGGTGAATGGGAAAACATTGTGTGTGATATTCATATGCAAGCAACATATGGATACGGAGATTGAGCAAAAGGAAATGGAAATTAAGAAAAAGGAACCAACTATTGATAAACATGATACAGAATTTCAAAACCATACTAAATGAAAGAAACCAGACACAACAAATGACATACTGTATGATTCCATTTATGTGAAATTCTAGAGAAGATAAAACTATAGTGACAAAGCACATTGGTGGTCACCTGACTGAAAAGGACATGAGGGAATTTTTTTGGAGTAATGGAAATATTCTATATTTTAATCATTGTTAAACAGCTATACATTTGCCAAAACTCATTGAAGCTTGAAGAGTACACTTAAAATGGGTGAATTTTATTAATACATATCTCAAAACTACATACCTTTAAAAACAATGATACCCACTAAAAGTATGAAAATAGAGTAGCTTCAACCACTGTAGGGAAGTGGGGAGTAGGATGGGGTTTTCAAAGCAGTCACCCACATTGAGAGAGCCACCTGCAGAGAGAGCCCCACCAGTTCCAGCTCCAGCTGCTGTGTCTTCCCAGCACAAGTGCCAGATATGCAGGAGAGAGCCCCTGGGGGATCCCGGCGCCCAGGCTTCAGGCGGCCCCAGCTGACGCTGAGTGGAACAGACTCTCAGGCCTGACTCGCTTGGCCTTTTCATCAATGTTTCAGAAGCAGAGCAGTTTTGTGCCTGGGTGAACCTGCCCAAATAAAGTCCTTCATTTCTGTATACACGGCTTCTAGTGAAACTACGTTAAGACTTAACTCACTTGATATATAAGGAAGAACTTAGAAAATCAAGACAATCCTTTTTCTCTACCAAGTCCTAGAATTAAAACTATTGAAATAACTGAAACTATTATCTCATTGGCAATTTAGGAAAATTAATCTCAAGATTCAAAGGTCACTGGGCATCATATTAGTTTAATATTTTGAAATATTTATTGTCTCTACATGGCTCCCCAAGACAGAAACCTGGCTCAGTTCCTACCTGCTCACTGCACACCACATAGGCCACGCTGAGAGGTGATGTCTGCAATTCCTACCCTGTTACTCTCACCTAAAGACTATTCTTTTTCTACCTTATTTTGAAGCTCAGAGCATCCAGCTAGACCGGTGGTTCTCAACCAGGGGCAATTTTGTACCGCTCCCACCTTTCCGCACTGCCAGAACCCTCCCCCAGCCCCCGCCCCCCAGGACATTTAAGTCTGGAGACAGTTTTAGTTACAATTGGGGACAGGGGTGTACTGCTGGCATCTAGTGCTTGGAGGCCGGAGATGCTAAACAACCTATGAAGCCCAGGACAGGCCCTGCGCCAAGCCCCGCCCCCATCACAAAGCATTCCCCAGCCGTTTGTCAACAGGGCTGAGGTTGAGAGGCCCTGAACTAGATTAGTGTATCCTCTGACCCTGTTAATGCCACCTAATGATCTCTCAGGTGCCTCCTCACCTCTCATTGCAATATCTCTGCCCCGTACTTCCGGAACTGATTCCTAGGCCGCACGTGGACTTCGTCATTGCCAAGAACCGCCCCCCTTCTGAAATCCTACGGCCACACAGTCCGATTCTCATTACGACCACTCTCCCACCAGCGTGCTTTCTCCCTTGCTCCCTCTTTGTTCTTTGATGTCACCTAGACCTCTCTCTAGTTTTATCAACTTCTCCCTTTTCCCCCAATGTGACGTTATAGACCAGCACTAGAAATAGAAATATACTGCAAGCTGCATACGTATTTTAAACTATTCTAGTAGCTACGGTTTAAAAGAGTGACTATACAATTGTACTTAATTTTCATAATGTATTTCATTTACCCAGTATATTCAAAATGTCAATTCAGCATTAATATACAAAATAATTGATGGAACATTTTACATTTTTTTGTACAGTCTTTGAAATCCCATGTAGTTTATTTATTTATTAAGGTATTATTCCTTGTATTTTAGTTATGGCACATTGCTATGCACACTGACCACTTTGCAGGTGTTTAACAGCCATGCATGTCACTGAAGCTAGTTTCTTTCCACCACCCATGACCTCCTGTTGATAAATCCAATGGGCCCTCTTCAGACTGTAACTCCACCAGCCTTTGACATGATTGCCCACTGCAGCACCTCTCACATCATTGGAATGTGGTGGTTATGAGTCAGGCTCCGGAGCCATGCTACCTGGGTTCTAATTCCAGTTCTACCACTTATTAGCTGTGGGACCTGAGGTAAATAACCTGCCCTGTCTGTGCCCCAGAGATAATAATTGTACCTACGTCTAGGGTTGTTTTGCAGTTTAAATGTGTTAATAGAGAACACTTATCTAGTCCTATTCTAAACACTCTATATGTATTAATTGTTACCTAAAACTGCCTAGCCCCTAGTAACATGTATGTATCTATATGAATAACATTTTACCATTTCCAATCACTGCCCAGGTGAGAAGCTCCCCTGGCTAGGATCACAGCTTGGCAACAGCTGCAGAGACAAGGAGCAGATCTGCTCTCCATGCTCTCCTCCCCAGCCTAAGTTTGCTGATTGTTATGGATTGAATTATGTCACCCTGAAAAGATATATTGGAGTTTTTACAACCAGGACCTTATTGGGACATAAGGTCCTTGCAGATATGATTAAGATGAAGTCACACTGGTGTAGGGTTGGCCTCTAATGCAACGTGACTGGTGAAATGACGTGCAGACCTGCATAAAAAACCCCAGGATTCTACAAGTCAAAGCGACTGGCACAGATGCCCCGTTGGCCCTCAGAACTAATCCTGCTGACACCTTATTCTGAGCTTCTAGCCTCCAGAACTGGGAGACCTTCCATTTCTGTTGATTACGGCGCCCTCACCGTGCCGTTTGCGGTCCTTCATTATGGCAGCCCTACCAGACTAACCCACTAAAGGGAGGAAGGAGGCCGGCGGGAGATCGCGGCGCAAGTCGGGAGGATGGGCACCACCCGCGCGGGCTGGGAGCCAGCAGGAGATGCAGCCCCTACGCGCCAACGCGACCCGACCCGGGAAGCCCACCGTTCACCCGCAGCTCCACCCTGGCTCGCAATGAGGTGCAGGCGCAGGCCAGACCGGCAGTGGGGAGTGGGGGGAAGAAAGGGTCGAGAATGAGGCTGACTCCTAGGAGCTGTAGCCTCACCTGTTCACTGAACCGAAACCTCAGTGAGGCCCAAGTTGCGCTTATGTTCTTCTCATAGGTTTCCGAAAGCGGTAACAAGCGTAGCAGCAGCAGGGGGAGCAGCCTGGAAGGCAAAGCCGAGGCCCTGGGCTTGCAAGCACTGCCTCCTCGGCTCCTGAGGCCTCTGTGGAGGGAGTGGGGCAGTGGGTCTGGACATAAAGGCATCTGTGGGCCCCCTCTTCTCATTTCCCCAACTTCTTCATATGCTAGAAGTGGGGGAGGGGCTCTTGAGAAAATTCTGCATGCGAGTATTAAATGCAAGGCTGTCAGCTCCAGGCAGTTGCAAGGAGACACTCCCTTGCTGATTCTAACAGCAACATTTGCAGAATTTGAACACATAAGCCAAGTCCACTGGAAATCTGCACCACAGGTGGCAGTTCCTGTCTTCTCAGCCAGCACTGATATTCCAAGAAACGCTTAGAGCTGTGCTTTTCAACTTGTGGCTATCTTGAGGAAATAAGGTCAGAAACTCTCCTTAAAGGTATTTCATGATATGTTTTGCAACACCTGTTAAGACCGTGAAGGAGGGAATGTAACAGTAATAAATGAATTTGTAGTAGAGGAAAAGGGGAACAAAATCTTTGTTCAAAACTGAACACTAACATTTACTGGAAAGTGAACTCAAACTGCCCCAGAAACTTTGTCCACTAATGGGCAGAGGTGGATGGGGTGGCAATTTCTTCTTGTTCTCCAGATTTTCTTAGTCTGAGGGTCAGAGTTAAAGCTGAAAGCTGATTTTGTTCAACCCCAAGCATCCTGTCACAGGAGACTGAGGAGGAACAGAAAAGAAAAACAAAAAGCTAGTGAATCGGCGCAGGAATGTCTGCCTGAACCCTTGCAAGCTGCTACTTCATGTGTCTGCACTCCAGCCTCTCTCCTACCATTTCCCCTCAAAAAGCCCTGACCACTTGTGTCAGGAGGACGGTGGTTCTCTAAGGCAGGAGCCTGCCACTCCCTCGTTTGCTAGCAAGTCAATAAACTATTCTTCCCTTTCCTCAAAACCTTGTCACTGTGTTTTGTGGTTTGACCTCAGGGACGAGGACCGGGTCTTGGTATCAGGAGCAGCACCCCCCACCCCGACCAAGTGCCCGCAGGGCCGCTCCTTCAGTGTCAAGAGCCCACAGGGCCGAGATGTCAGGGACACAGAGCTCCGGCTTCCTCCTTGCTAGCCACAGGGGACTGTGCTGGCCAGGAATTCATGTTGTGTGGCAGGTCAAGTACAAGCCTCTAGAACTCCCTCTAAAGTATACATTGAAAGCAGTAATGCCTGGTGACACCAAGGATTTGAAAGAAGTAGGGGTGGTGATTTCCACATACCCTTATTGAAGTCACTCATTTAGCCTACTTAGAAAATGGACGAATCTTGGAGATGACAGTGCATTATTGCCAGTGTAATCAGAGTGTCTCAAACTGCAGTTCCTGCTGCACATGGGGCTTCATCACTTGATCCGCAAGCACCCAGTGTGTAACTATTGGTCAGGAAAATGCTCTTTGTTCTCTTCCTGTGAGTAAAGACCAGCAGGGCAGTTAGCTTTCAGCCGGCAAGGAGAGAAAACTATCTCAGAGG